TCTATTTTTGAATGTCATGTAATTCAGGCACAATCTACCCCTTATCTGTGCCTGGCTTTTTTTTTTTTTTCCTCAAAATTGTGTCAGTGAAAATTATCTATGTTGTTATATGTGGCAGTAGTTCATTCATTTGCATTGCCAAATAGTATTCCCTTATAGGAATACACCACAATTTACTTATCCATTCTGTGGACACTTAATTTGTTTCCAGTTTGGGGCTGTTGTGAACAACACTGCTATTACTGCAAATGTCCTTTGGTGGACGTATACACTCATCCCTCTTGGGTACATATGTAGGAGTAAGATTACTGAGTGAATAGTGGAGATGTGTTTTAGGGGAGGACAATAAAGCTGCTACAGAACTTTTTCATATCCATCTAGCAGTTTCTGGCTAAAAAGGGAGTTTTTAATATCCTGGCAAACAAAAGCCTATAAGGAGAGTTAGAGGGCACACATTTAGACACAAAACTTCGATGAAGAGAGAGCACAGGCTGTGCAAAATGCAGAAACCAAAAACTGTGTTATGGGGGCTGGGGTTGTGGCTCAGCGGTAGAGAGCTCATCTAGCATGTGCGAGGCACTGGGTTCAATCCTCAGCACCACATAAAAATAACTAAAATAAAGGCATTGTGTCCAACTACAACTAAAAAAAATATTTAAAACAAAAGAACAAACAAAAAACTGTGTTATGTGTATAGTTGTGGGGTGGGGAGGAGGGTGCAGAAAGGGAATACTATAATCAAAATGATCTTGCAAGGTGGAAATGGAGTCTGAGTCTCCGTTTTCCACTTATGCAAATATAGGAGAAAGAAGGAAGTGTATCTGTGGATGTGTTGGTGGATGGAATGGTCTAATATGACTAGAAAGACAGGCTGATCTGACTTAGGGCTTCAGACCTAGCAGCTCATTTTGTCTAGAATAAGGCAGCATCGATCGATTGATCCATCTCACTTTGCCTCAGCAGCTGGGAGCTCTGCTCTATTTAGGAATACCTGCCATGGAGACAAGACTGCTTTATGGGGCAGTGGCCAGTGTGGTGAAGGCCTCAAATCCCTGCCACAGAGATGGGGAATAGTCCTGAGAAAGAGAAATCTGAGGAGTATGACAGCTCTTTAGGGCCACCTGAAGGGATGCAGTGTGGAAGAGGACTGGCTTGTAGCATCTGACTTCAGAAGGCAGACACTAGCAGAGAACAGACACTAGCAGAGAAACTGTTCAGCTTAGTATTAGAAAGAATGTTTCACCAAGTTATCTACAGTCAGAATGAGTTGCCTGGCTATGACTCTGGAAGTTACGTTGCTTTGGTTGTAAGCAACAGAAACTGATTGGTCAACCTAAGAAAAACAAAAGTTTGTTAGAAAGAAGTGGGAAAGTCACATGGTTTTAAAAAAAAATGACTGAAGAACAAGGTATGGCCAAGTGCTGTGGTGCATACCTGTAATCCCAGCAATTTAGGAAGCTGAGGCAGAAATATCACAAATTCAAGGCCAGCCTCAACAGGTTAGCGAGGCTCTCAGCAACTTAATGAGACCCTGTCTCAAAATAAAATAAAAATATAAAAATGGCTGGGGATATATTAGGTCAGAGGTAAAGCACCCCTGGTTTCAACCTCTGGTATCAGAGAGAAAGAGAAAAGGGAGTGGAGGGGGAGAGAAAGAGAGAGAGAAGAAGAAGAAGAGGGTGGAGAGGAGGAGGAGGAAGGGAGGGAGGCAGGCATGAAGAGGCATCCTTGGTTGTTATTCAGTATGGTAAAGTCCAGAACAGAAGTAGTTCCAAAGACTGAACTTTGTCTCATGTCTGTCCCTTGGCAGAAAGGTCAAGACACCTTGAAGGTAGGCCCAAGGGTATCCCCCAAGACAAATAAACAATTAATAGTGGGAGGGCCAAACCACCACTGTCCTCCACCATGTCCCTTTTCTCTGCCACTCAGGAGATCAAATAGCATTGTGGATTTTTTGTTTTTGCTTTTTTATTTTTATTTTAAGAGACCAGGTCTCACTCTGTTGCCTAGGCTGGCCTTGAACTCCAGGCTTCAGCCATCTTCGAGTCTCATCCTCCAAGTAGCTGGGACTACAGGCATTCCAGCGCCCCAGCTGGAGAAGCATTATGATAGTAACAGTCTTCAATGTATTCTAATTTGTCTTTATGAGTGAAAAACGCGCCCATCTGGTTGCTTAATGTTTTTACTAGTAGCACATGTGACAGTCACGACTGAGTGATGAAATGCCAAATGGTGTGAGAACAGGCTTCTCCTAGGCGACAGACAAGCTGATGGACTTGTGCATTCAACAAACAGGTATCAGATGCCTACTATGTGTCGAGCCCTGTTCTAGACACCAAGACTCATTAAGCCGGTGCAAAAATGGAAAGGTTAAATATTTGCGGGTGTAGACGCAAAGGGCATGTGCATTGCATCTGGGTTGCAGTGGGTGGGGCCGGCCAGGGAGAGATTCATTTCAGGCCAAGGCCCGCCCTAGTCCCAGCCGCAAGTCATCTGGCACTCCCGCTGTCCAATCCCTACTACCCCATCCCACGAGGCTCCGCCCTGGGTCCCCAATACCTGGGTTGTTTGCAGTCCAGTGGCAGGTGGCGCCCCCATGGTAAGGACATTTCTGTTCGGGGCCAGCAGCTGTCACCTGAGAAAGATTAAGATTCTCCCAACCAGGCGACAAGGCCTGTTGTGCCCCAGACAGGCACAGCTCAGATTCCCTCCCTGAGGCAATTAACCCGGGAAAAAAATGTGACAAATCTCCCGGGGCATCCGCCCTCCAGTCCAATGCCCGCTCGCTCTGGCCTTTCCTAGACTGGAGCAGAATCTGGAAGAATTTCTGAAAATGGAACTTGGTGGAGGCGTCTCCCCTTTTTTTCCTGGGGTCAGGAGGGAGAATTTAAGATGGGCCCAAGCGGGGGACGACCCGGGGCCCCCAGTCCCTGCCACCCCTGTCCCGGCTAAAAGCAAAAAGCTAAGGTCGCTGCAGAAAGCGGGCACCCACAGCAGGGGTGCGCTGGCCACCACACTCCCGAGGTTCTGCGCCCTGAGGTCACCGCTCGTTGTCCCGGGCGGGGCGGGAGGCTGGGTCCCGCTGATCCCAGGAGACATAGCAGCACGGAGACACTAATCCGTTGTTTTTACACATAATCACTTCACACGCGAAGATCACCTACCTCAGATTGCTCTCATAGCTGAAGGGATCTGTCAGTTTTAAAGGGTTTCAGCTCACATTCTCCAGGTCGATCAGGACAGAGCCTCCCAGGGCGGGACCAGCCGCCTCTCAGAGCCTCTCAGGTTCTAATCTCCCCGTGGCCACTAGCCCTGGATCAGGACATCTCTTTGGATCTCACCTGTTCAGTGGGTTAAACTGAACCCTATGCAACTCTTGAAAGAGAAAAGAGACTTCAAAGTGTGTTTGGAAAGTTAAAGCCTGCCAGGAGTGGAGGGGTCTCTTTGAGCTAGGAATCTCACACCCCTCTCTGGTATGTGAGTTTGCAGCCTGACCACATGGAAGGGCTGCTTATTGGCAGGGATTCCCTCAGGAAATGAAGGAGTGGGAAGGCCTGAGGCCTAGGGGTGACTTCTGTAAAAATTCCTGTGATCAGAACCATCAAATTTGATGATTAGAGAAGGAGATTGGGACTTATTTTGAGCCAACCCCTCTTTTCACAGATAAGGAAAGAGGCCCACACAGGGGCAAGTGACCTGCCCAAGGGTATGTTGCTATTGGCCAGAGGCGGCTCTGGAATTTCTTTGAAGCATATTGAACCCAGTTTCCCTGACCTGGACCTCAATCCTGGCTCCCCAAAGCCTCACCCCACCTGAAAACAGGTTTAGGGATTCTTGTTTTTCCCCCAGGGAGTTATCGGGATTGTTTCCTGCTTCTAGTGAAGGCTCTGAGATCATTTCTCTCAAGTTGGAGGAGCCAGGGGTTTCAGGGGTTAAAGAGTATTTCACTGGTGTGGGATTTAGCAGAGGTGAGATTTTCATGAGCACTGTGTACTCTATCAGTTTACAACATGCTGTTAATAGAGGCCATTAATCACAGCCAACTGCAGCTGGCTCAGCCTGGTTGGACAAGGACAGCCCACCATCTTTGGGACAAGTACTGAAGGAAGAGCCTCCTACAATTACCCCTGACGCCTGAAAATCTGTCCCAGGAGAGAAGAAACATGATGACACTGGCACATATATAGCTGGTGTCTCATTCACTTCTTCCCGGTCCTCCCCTAATGTCCCAACCTGAGTAAAATGCCCAACACGGCACTGAGTACACATTAGGTGATTAATGAATACTTGAAAAGACACTAGATTTTGGAAGGCTCTTCCCCCAGACATCAGCAAAGAGGGAGGGAGAGGTTTTGACTTCCAGCTGCTGGGCAGAAACTCAATGCACTAGTACCCCAACAAAGTAGAATCTGCAACTGGGCATTCAGAGGCAGATCTTTGCTTGCAGGGGGGCAGTGGTGTAGGGGCAGCAGCCAAGTCAGTGGGTTCCAGATGTCAGCTTCATATCTGAGAACTTGCTTCTCTTTCTTTGGTGTCTGATGGGCCCACACTCTCTCAGTCTTGGCTATCCATAATACCTCCAACTTCAGACCCCTGGTTCTCTTGGATCTGTTATGGTCAAGACCATATGGTCAAGATTCTGGTGGACTAACTAGGCTGGTAGGCTTCCAGCAAAATCCTAGACAGCCTATTGCTAAGGAGATTGAAGTCCAGCCACCATGTCTCAGAATATCCCACCCAACATAGTATTGTACTCTCTAGCCGAACTCGGACCATCTGGACCCAACATGCTGTTAGATACCAGAGGAATTATCTGTTGTCCTTAGCCATGTCCTTATTTTAATCTTGAGCTTAGAGCAATAGAAAATGAATATAAATTAGGAGGAAAGGTTTAATCACTTGGACGAGTTTAGCAGCCATCATGTATGTGGAACTTACCATCTATCAGCCTCTTTGACATATTATTCAAATATTATCTCATTTAGGACTCAACAACACTATGAAGCAAATATTCTTTTATCCCCATTTTATAAGTATGGAAACAGAAGTGCAGACAGGTTAAGTTCTTTGACTAAAGTCATAAAGCAAGGAAGTGTCAGATCTGTGTTTGCAACCCAGGTCATCTGGTTCCAGTCCATGCTCAAAGCCACCCAGAAAGGATGGGCCTGGGAAGAACTTTTTAATAGTATGTGTCAGTCTCAGGCTCCCATGCAAAGATCCCCCTCCCTCCAACCAGGTGTGTGCAGCCTTCCTGGAGAAGGGGTGATGCAGTGGACCTTTGGAGGCCCTTATAGTTGACAATCCGCCAATTCCCCTGGAGGATTCCCTGCTCTCGGACTTGATTCACTTGCTTCTCTTTCTGCACCATCCAACAGGCTGTTCTGAGCTGCTTGGTTGAGTTCAGCTGTTGCTGAGGAACAAGTAATGTACAAACCCTGAAGGATTACGGTGCTGATGAGGCAGCCATCAGAAAATATCACTTGACAGGCCTCTCTATTTCACAAGTCACGGGGCTGAGCATGGAGCCCTCTTCTTGTCCTCTAGCAGCCCTGGCCTCTCACAGCCCAGCCCTTCTTATTTCCACCTGAGCCTTCTCCCACAGCTGCTTTGGGTTCATAATATTTGTTAGACCTTCAAAGCCACCCCTCCCTGGTCCCATGTCAGACACTTTATATAGAGACCCGGAATAAGGGCTCAGCTTCCTTTGCTCTGCAAGGTGCCCCTTGGAGTGCCCACCTGGCAGCTCTTTCTACACAGCTCCACAGGAGGGGTTCTTTGTGTTGCTTGTCCAAAATATCTCAGAGAGGAAAATTCATGAAGCCAGTGAGATGGAGTTTCTGGGGGCAAGTTTTCAGGAATTAATTGGGGCCCTCATGAGAATTCAAAGTACACAGTTTAACTGGCCTGGTGTTCTGCAGATTTCTCCTGTGCATGCCCAGATGGTGAATGTTGTACACAGACCACACTCATTTCTGCTGCTGTAACACAAAAGATGCCATCCATGAAACATAAATGAATGGCTATGGCTATTTCCAATAAAACTTTATTTATGAAAAAAGACTGTGGAACAGATTTGGCCTATGGGCCACAGTTTGCTAGGCCCTGAGAGAAGCTGGTTTAGGGCTGGGGCCTGGGTGGGAACCCTAGCAGGCAGAGCTGTGCAGCAGGTTCTGTGTAATACCCCAGATGACTGAGGTGCACCCTGACCTGCACAGACAGGGGACATTGACCTGACCCATCCCAGTTCAAGTCATTAGTGGACAGAGGTCTCTGGGAAAGCCCTGGGTAAGGGTGAGGACTGCTGTTGTGGAATGGGGTTGTGGGGTGCTGCCTCAAGAGTGAGGGGCCCTCGGGTTTTTCAATGTTGCGTTCAGTCCTCCTCTCCACTCAGACAGCTACCTTGCTAGGGAGGGAGCTCCACACAAAGTTTATCATGGACAAACACCTTCTCTTTGGCTGCTGGGCCATATCAGCTCTCTGTACCCTTTCCAGCAGAGGCAGGAAGGAACCCCAAAGCAAATTCCCACTAGATTGTGTGTTTATTGGATGCTTTTTTGGCCTGGTGCTGATGTTCAGCAGCATCTGGGAAGTCCTAGCCTGGGAGTGGGGAGACCTCCAGGAATCATCTCAGATGTGATAGACCTACCTCATTTCCTCGGGGACACCCCTCTCTCTTCTACCCCTAAGCCTCTGCTTATGCTGTTCCTTCTGCCTCTTCCTTCATCTTCTTCTCTTAGCTGAATTCTCCTCATCCTGCCAACTCCTCCAGGAAGCCTCCTAACATATCTACCCTCCCCGTCGTCTTGGCTAATGTCACCATGGGCTCCTATTATGTCCTAATAGTCCTCAACCATAGCCCTTGTTTTGCTTTGTTGTAATACTTATTTGGACTGTACCTCTGAAAAAATGTAAGTTAGATTGAAAACTCCATGAGGGAAAGGACCCCAGTAACTCACACAATATTTGGCACACAGAAGTTGCTCAATAAATGGTTATTAAAAGAAGAATTCATCCCATTTATGTCACCAGGCAGAACATTCCTTAACTATTGCAGGAATGAATGTGTCCATCATGTTCCCTATAAATTTCCCAAGATGTTTGAAGAACAAAAGCCTTTCCCTGTGGTTTATATACAATTTTTCCCTTTCAGCTTTGGATTCTGTTCATTGAAGTACAAACACACATGTATCATGGTCCCTAGAGGTGTCTGATGGAGGCCAAGGTCTTGTCTTAGTGGACTTCATTTAGGGAGGAAAGTGGTAAGAGGAACGTTTTCCTGGACTCCTTCTGGAAGGGAGACTGACTATCCCCCTCTATGCTTGGGTACCATATTATTTCTCTGTGACTTAGTTTCCCCTTTGAAAACAGGAAGGTACAGTGTGTGTGGTATGTATGGGGTATGTGTGAATGGAACCTCTGTAGAGTGAACATTTCCCTCTCGAGTTTGAGCAGGTTTTCTCTGGAAAGGAGTTTTCTAGCTCTTTGGTGTTCTTTGGAAAACTCCAATTGTAGTTGGGATTAGAATTTCCACACCATGGCAATTTACCTGCACCCCTGCCTGCCACCAGCTCGGGGAACATGGGTCAAGCTCAAGCTTGTGGCCTAGGGATCCTGATAACACCCCTCAGATTCAGCAACTGTATCCCAAAGAGCAAGAAAAACCTTCCAGATACCTCACTGACCTTCCTAATTTCCCCAGAAAGGAAAGGAGGAACAGAGATGGGTCCTGTAGAGCCAGGGACATTGAAGTGCAAGTTGAAGTTACCACTGAGAATCTGAATTTGGACAGCAGCCACCTGTGCTGATCTCTGTTCACCCTTTTCTTTGGGGCCTGATGTAAATGACCAGTTACAGCCCGTGGATGGTACCGGGTCTGTTACTGAGGAGCTGTTGCCTCTTGACTTCAGGGTTTTGTGCCTTTGATGGAGAAACCCTTAAGGTATTCTTGGGGGGTAACTGGAATGAGCCTGCCTGGCAGGCTGTGGGGGCTGCTAGTAAGGAGCAAAGCAGTTCCTAGTCACGAGTACAGTATGTTTATGGGGTAGTAAAAGCAGATTGCAAACAAATATATCATTGTCTTTCTATTCTTGCCTCTGTGCCTGTGACCTGTTGCCCCCTTGGGTGGTCCTTGGGACAGGGACTTATTCACCCTTGTTCCCTTTTACTTCAGATTCCCCGCCTAGGAGATCTGCCTGATAGTTGTAGGTTCTTCTCCCTTCTTTCCTCACCGGAGAGTATCCCTGGTAGAAAAGCTGACAAAGCAACTAACATTCCGGGCAGCTCATTCATTGCTAGGGTAAGAAGTGCTAAATCTTCTCCAACCTGTCAAGGGCAACTGCTTGTAGGTCATTCAGTAGGCAGGTCCCTCTCAAGTTCTGAGACTGGCATCGCTGGGCTAGGAGCTTAACTCCAGCACCTGTAGTTCTGAGCAGCCACTCTCTTACCCCCCTGCCCACCCGCTCCATTCCTTGCACAGCTATTTGATAATCATGTGATGTGCTTAGTGTGTCCCCATCTCTGCCCTTAAAGTTCCTGTCTCCTGGCAAAACACTCTGGGCTGAGTAATTCCTGGACAGAATCCAGGCTGAGGTGCTGTAGGGATAGCAGAGGATGAAGGAGACACTGTCCTCTCCTTGGGGAGCTCATGAATGTTGTGGATGAATTGGGGCAGGGGTGAGGCACACAGGTCCAATCCCCGGCATCTTCTGTGCATGTGTATAATGCAGGAATGGCAGCAGATGGAGGGGAAGGAGGAAGAAGATGCTGGGGGCGGGGGGAGCCGAGTCAAGAGATCCTAGCCAGGCAAGGTTTCTGGCAGAGACAGGCTTTCCATAAACTGTCAAGAATGTTGCTTGACAGGAAGAAAGAGATCCAGGTTCAAAGCAGAATAAGTGACTTAAAAACAGGGCTCAGAAGTAGGAAAGGAGGCATTCTGCAGAAGGACTAGAATAAAGTCCTTGTAGGTATGTCAGGCTAGAATACAGATCCAGCATCACCAGATTTTTCTCTCTCTAGATCAGACATTTCAGGAGAAGGATGAGATAAGAGAGGCTTCACATTCCAGGGAAGGACTCAAGATCTCAGACTAAATCTTTGAACAGTCAAGGGTGCCGAGTCTGGTACCCAGGTATGTATGCATATGCATTTATGCATGCTAGACAGTCAATATGTGAGGTTTGAGTGAGCGAGCAGCAGGTAAAGCAAGGTGTGTGTGCACTGGTGTGTGAGCAGTGTGTGGGGATGGGGTGAGCTTCAGCAACAGCTGTGGCAGCCCATGAGCATGTGTGAACCCCTGCTGAGGACAGGGGTCGCCAGTGGAGATTGTAGTTTGGTGTAAAAAGATCACTGGCTTAAAAATAGGAAAGAATGGCAAGTCTGTAGGAAGAGCGGCAGCTCTGTTCCTCTTCCCTGTGACCCGTGTCTTCTTATTTCTTCAGCCCCAGCAGTGACCCTCTCCCTGGTTCTCCCTGCAGCATATCCGCAGCCTCCCTTCTCCTCCTCCACCCCTGCTGTCTCACTCATAATCCTCTCCATGCACCCACATCCACTTCTACCCTGTCCTAGAACCTCCAAGCTACAAAAGAGACAGGAAGCCTGATGTAGACTTTTGACCATTAGTGCCCAGAGAAGAGCACAGACCCCTAGCTCCACAGCTTCCAGGGTTTCTGATGTCAAGTCCACCAACACTGTGCCAGTGAAGGATGTCACAGGTGGGCTCATCTCAAGGAAGCATCTGGACCATTAATCATGGTGCTACTATGTAGAAAAGCCCAGACCCCATTTTCTTCTCCTTTGGTCCCAACCCCATCTCCCCGTGACTTGCTCTCCATCGTTTCTCCCTGTCTTTGACTCTTTGGTTCTTTGGGCTTTCTGCTCTGCTTCCATTTCTACTTTCCCACCATTCCCAGAACCCCTCTCTATCTGAGTATGCAACTCTGACCCAGTGTCAGCTCCAGCGAGCTGGAACCTACTGTGGTGTCTGAGAGCTGCTGGGTACCGGGGGTAGGCAAGAGGTCTCAGGCTCAGGGACAGCAGACACAACACATTAAGGAGATGCTCAGGTTCATTTCTTCCTTCGCTATGATTGTTGAACTGGGCTGAGTGCAGGAAATTCATCAGTGAATAAGATAAACACACTATTCTTGCTTCATAGAGCTGTCAGTCTAATGGAATAGGTAATACTACAAAAAAAATTATCCACTCTCTTTTTTTGTGAGTGTGTGTGTGTTTGTGTATGTGTACCGGGGATTGAACTCAGGGACACTCAACCATTGAGCCACATCCCCAGCCCTATTTTGTATTTTATTTAGAGACAAGATCTCATCGAGTTGCTTAGTGCCTCGCCGCTATTGCTGAGGCTGGCTTTGAAACTGCAATCCTCCTGCCTCAGTCTCCCCAGCCGCTGGAATTACAGGTATGTACCATGTGCCTGGCTACCACTCATATTTAAAGCAGCACAATTCACAACAGCCAAACTATGGAACCAGCCTAGGCTGGATAATAAGAATGTGGCATATATACACAATGAAGTGTTATAGAGTCATAAAAAATGAAATTATGTCATCTGAAGGAAAATAGATGAAACTAGAGATCATTATGTGAAGTGAAATAAGACAAGCTCAGAAGTTCAAGGGTCATATGTTTTCTCTCATATGTAGCAGCTGGAGAGGGAAAAGGATAAGAAAGTTGGGGTGGATCTCATGGAAATCAAAGGGAGATAATTAGAGGAAAGGGATCAAGTGGTAGGAAGTGAGGAGGGAGGGGGAAAGTACTGGGGAGTGAAACTGGCCAAATTATATTGCTATAGTGTGTGCATGTACGCATATGAAACAGCAAATACAATTAATATGTACACTATAATGCACCAATAAAAATGTGGAAAGAGAAAAAAATAATTACCTAATTATGTAATGATAAACTGTGACATGCCAGCAAATCCTGCAAACTCTAATGGCACACACATCTAGAATCCAATCTTCTCACCATCTTCACTGTGGTCCCTGGTGTCATCCTCTCCCACCTAGATTATTGCAGGGGCTCCTTGTTTGGTCTTCTTCCTTCTACCCATCCTTTCCCCTAGCCCAGCAGCCAGAGAGGTCCTGTAGCAACCTGACTGAGGTCTCGTGACCTGTGCTCAAAACACTACAATGGTTTTCCATACTTTTCAGAGAAAAAGCTGAAGTCAATGCCATAGCCTATGATCCTATGTAACAAGTCCCTTGCCTCTCCCTTATAATATCCCTTCACATCCCCTCTGCTCGCAGCCTCACAATCTCCAGATAGAAAATGTGGAATTTAAACCTGGTTCAGTCTTGTTTCAAAGTCTACGCCCCTTTCACTGATAATATTATCATTCCTTTTCACATAGGAGGCAATAGATGTTCAAGGAGTTTAAGTCACATGGCTAGGAAATGCCACAGCTAAAACCTGAACATAGGTCTGCATAGTTGTAACTCCTGAGGTAGACTCCTTATCACTTCTAGAAGACCCAAAGGTCCTCAGATGTAGATCAAGGAACAGTGTCATTGACAGTTCAAGGCACTTCCAACATACCAAGCCCTCCGTCATTTGCAATTCTACTTAGCTTGTAATTTGGGTCCCTTTCAGCCCAAGGTGGTTTCACCTGATCTCAGAAAGTCAGTCAGGAAATGAAATTTTTTTCTTTCTTTAAATTCTCATGCTACCCAGAGTGGAAGGGCAGTTTTATATCCGCACGTTTTTGTGGCATGGCTCCAGGAGTTCTGCTCCCAGACTCCTACAGAGAAGGC